CAAAGATGATAATTATTTCGATTACATACAGCCCCCTTCTTTTTAAAATGTTTTTCTACTGTGTATACTTATATATAGCCCTAATTCTCCCTGTGCTATCCGTTGCACAACTTCGTCAATACACATGTGTTAATGCCTGAGGCGATTCAATCAATTGCAATTTGTGTGGCGTTGCAATTTCACCAGGGACTTTATTATTCAACGTCTGCTTCAACTTTTTTCTCTTTTTTCCCGACTTTTCTATAGTAAAGAGCAAAGAAGAAAGAAGCACCAACACACCCACAAGGACACATGAATAGAAACAGTTCATTGATTTTTTTTTCTTGTTTCCTCAGAATCCTCGGTTTAGCCAGTTTGTGCATTCTTCGTTTTCCATCCTCAAATATCATGCTTTACCTGGGGCTGCTGCCGGCTCACAGAGAGAGATGTGAAACCTGTGTGCGAAGAAAACATCTGCCTGTGTAGTGTACAGCTTCTCTGCTCAAACAATGACAGAGCTGTACTTGTACAATGCTTTAAGTGTAGTCTTTGTACCTGCTTTTATATCCTGGGGAAAAATCTACTTTGTCATGTCAAAAGGAAAATCGCAAGCGCACCGCTGAATTCTCTAAAAGCACAATTACATCAGCAAAAGGCACAGAGTTACAAAAATAGACATTTCTATTTTGTGTGCAGAACAAATGGATTATCTTATAATGTCACAATGTCTCAAAAGGATTCTTTTAAAAATAGAAAAAAGCAATTTTCACAGCAATTTTGGTTACAGTTGTCATAACATTTAGGGATATTGTTGACCATCATCTTCTGAATTAGTATTTTTTGCAAAAACAGAACAATGTTGTGTAATTGTGTTTGTCAAGCCAGTGAAACCATTCCATGCTGAAGAAAAACTGCAAATATAACGAAAACGATGCTCATAGGTTTCTTCTGTTGTTTGCTGTGTATTTGCATCTAGGTTCTATCCTGCTATCTAACCAGCTGGAAAAGCAATTACTTGTCTCAGCTGCACATGCAGTGAGGTGGGCTGCTGAGTTTGAAGGATACTGAAATCAATATCCCTGCAATGGAAAAAACATCTTCTCTCATGGAGGAAACAAACCAGAGCGGAGCATTTGCAAGTAATGTTGGCATTTACGGTGGCATTCGCCTCAATTGCATATCAAGGGATTTCCACTCTTTGACAAAATACTTTTAACAAAAAACAAATTTAAATCATGAAGTAAATGCACACAGCTAACATCATGCTGCAGGCTACTGATTTTGTTGTCTAACCTTGAAATGGAATAGCATTAAGAGAAGATTATTATATAATATGCTTTCCATTTCAAAGGCAAATTCAAAAACAGCTACTTCGTGCCATGTTGCAATCCGATTCTGGAAGCCACTAAAGTGCTATATCTCTATGTAGGTTTTTTTTCATAAACTGAAGGATGAGTTGACATTATAAAATAAAGGTGACAGAGTTCGTCCTCCTTCATGAAGCTCCTCATGAAGAGCACCCTGCAGCACTCGGCTCTCCACCCACCTAGAAACACATTTAACCTGAATGCAGTAGAACGAGAAAAGAACACTTGACTGATCAGCAAAATACTTTTTCAAGATGCGATTGTAACTTGCTGCAGCCCTCCATAAAGTACAGATAGACTGAGACATTTTGACCTTATAATGGCTCTAGAAAAAAGGTCAAGGGATGACCAAAGTTGTTAGAATGTATCATTGAGTGGAACATGAATGTCCTTACCAATTGTCATGGCTATCCAACGAATAGTTGTAGAGTTTCTACTTAAAACATAAATTATCAACACCATGGACGCTCAAGGGGAAAGTCAAGGGATCACTAAAGTCATTAGGATTCATCCTCTGGGAACCATGAATATCAATCTCGAATGTTGTGCCAGCCGAAAAAGATCATTCAAGTGTGACCTTCTGGAGGCATTAGAAGACTAGTCAGGGGATCAATAACACTTCAATTCATACTCTGAGGGTCATGCAACATCATGGCAATCCATCCAATAGTTTTTAGATAGAGAAATGTAAGTCTGATCCGAAGAGGAGGAGTAAAATCAAAGCACAAACCACAAGCTCAATCCTTTATGTCCTCCCCATGTGGCTCGACAAGCCTAAAAATAAAAGAATGATATTAGTCTGCGGGAGCTTGTTGCTCTGCAGTACCTGTGGCACATTTTTATTATTTCTGAAACCTATTGGGTTTAAAAGTCAAAAGGCTGCGCCACAGGGAGATTGCGTGATGTGCAAGTGGTATAATGGATCAGCTCTTTATTTGGCTCCAGTTGTGGTGCTCTCTGAGATTGCTCTAATGAAGACAGACATAATTATCTCAGCAGGCAGAACTCCACTCTAATTATGGTCTAACTGCTGCTCTCTTACTGTTCAGTGTCATACCCAGGGGTTATTTGGGGGGCCGAATACAACAACAGAAATACACACAGAAATACACACAACCCTGAGGGCGCAGAGTGCTCAGCTTATGCATCAGTCTTCCTTCACAACAGGAAGAGAAGCTGTGCTTGAGGGCAAAGCTTCTGGGGGTCCTATAATAAACTAAACTAAGCTCATCTGCGCAGGCATTACGGTCTAGTGGATGGGCCTAATCTAACATGGCAACAAACTGTGCCCCCATCTGATTGGTGACAGTCTTGACTGTCATCAGATTAATAAATCACAACCCCATGACACTATGGGTATATTTACCGATGTTTTTCAGGAATATCACGTTGAAATCCTTCAATCAATAGGTATGTCAGTAGAAAAGACAAACTATAATACATAAAGTATTGTCTGGAAAATGAAAAATGAGAAGCAGGGTTACATATTGATTACTTCAGGGCCATTCTGAGCCCATCCATTTTGATTTCATGAATGTAAATTAATTGCAGTTTTTTGCCACTCTTGGGGATTGCTGAGGAGCGCAGAAGTCAAATGCCATGTTTCTAAATGCAGACTGAGGTAGAGTAAGTTGTGCAGCGACCTTCATTGCCGGTATGGAACCTCCAAATGAGGAGACAATAAAGGGGAAGTATTTGGAAAATGTACCAGTGACTCAGAGATGGTATTGAGAGCTAATGAGTGCAGCCAACAAGCGGTCACACAGCACAGCGATACATGTGTAAGGAAACAGGCAGCATTAATAAAGCAAAGGGCAAAGTTTATCTCTGTTATTGTCAGTAATAGGTACAGTTAAAACGGCAGCATGCTCATGTCTGCGCTGTCAGATATTTCAGGAGGCATAGGTGGCTTGAAGGATGGTTTGTTGGCGCTAAATTACCTCCAAATGTGTGCACTGTATATTGTTATAATGATGCATTTATAAGTGGCCAGTAAAAGAACAAATACATTTGTTGAATCCCCAATAAACAAAGACAATCCCCTGTTGTTTTCAGAGTAGATTTACAGAGATTATGTCTTGCAGTCTTGCAGAGGCTTGGAGAATTTTTTATTATATGCATCAGACATTTTAAGAAGACGTGGGAACATAGAGTTCAGCATAATGAGCAGTGATTCATCTTGCATGCGTAAAACAACAGGAACATGGAAGACAGATGAAGGATTTTAGGGCTTAAATCCCTCCAGAGAGCAACAGCACGGCCTTAAACTAAAACAATGAGACTTACAGTCAAGGTCACTGACGGTTTTATAATCGCTGGAGACTCGTTCACTGCAAATGTACTTTAAAGGCAACATGAGAGTATTATTGACGCTTCCAGCACAACTATTAACAACAATAGCCATTTAGTTTATTCGTACTCCCCTTCAGAGTATCTGTGGATTATTTACTACCTGTGGACATTTATTCTTGACTTTACCGAGCATGGCTCAATGATCTATGCTTTATAACTGGAGGGCAAGAAAGCTCTCTGGGTTCTGACTAGAGGAGACTCTATATTTGTCTATGTGACAGTCCAATTTTCCACACACCACCAGGGGAATGTGAAAAATACAACTTAGAAAAAAGGGAAAGAAACACAGTAAATCTACCATAACAGCTTTAATTATTCATTTCAGGGGATTTGTCAGCAAATAAACAACATTAATTTGTCTATTTCATAGTCAGTCATTCATGGATCATTGCTGTGCATGAACAGATAGATGACAACATATGGCAAAGATAACATACTAACAATTGAAAATGCTACTCGATATCTCAGAGATCCAATCTTTCTATGCAAAATATAAAACAGCCAGATTATTTAGTAGCATATTGAATTGGGACTCGATTGGATAGATAATACATATCATAGAGATTTATTAATGTGTCATTTTTGGAGAAAAGTCGCTAATTTAGAATAAATAACCATGTTTGATTTTAATCTGTAGACTCTGCCAATGCTAATTATTTTGTATGGTAAAAATGTCAATGCAAGTATGTGAAATAGATATTGTGTGTGATTATACAAAATTGCATCCCTGGCAATAAAAAGCCTTCATAACAGGACTGACGGAAACCTTATCTTCAGAGAACACAGTGTGATAATAAAACTGGCCTCTGAGAACACCTCAGGAAATGAAACTCCACACAAAGAGATGAATCTTGACTCGGAGTGTCAGTCTGCTGCTCTCTGTGACCTGGTCACTTCAAGAAGACTCTGCAGCGTCCTCCGGTGGTCGATGTGGAGCAGTGCAAATCCCCATTAGGAACACTTTTCTTTAGAAAACGCAGATTTCACAACTCACTGTCATTAAAGACTTACTTTTGAAAATATATTCAATATTTATTTACAGATTACTTTGGAGGGCGGGGCTTATATTTTAAGGTTTAAGAAAGGTTTAAGAAAGAAAAAACATTGAAACTAAGGTACAAGGACTTATTATTTAAAAAAAGTGAATGAATTTGAAGAAATTGTCAAATTGATGCGTTAAAAAAAATCCTTGTTTATCATTGCAAAAACTCCTTACGGCCTCAATCTTTTGGAATTTTGTGAAATATTGATTTGTTTGATATATTTTGTAAAACATGTGTTTTGTTTTGAGCTTTCCACACTATCCAATAATGACGCTTCGGTGAGCGCATGCGCAGTGCAGACCGGAGTAGAAACCCGGAAGAGTGTGGGAAGATACTGAAAACAGACGCTGTAATCTCCTCTCAAAACTAATTTAAGGAGATAATTATAATCGTGCATAACATCTGGTGTAATATTATACCTGACTCTGGTATAGACAGGTTTTCAATGATAATGGTGTCGATAATGCTACTGTAAGCTTATTATAACACTGCAAACAAACTGTTAGCTAGCATCTGAGCATATTAACAGTCTATGCTCCTGAGCAGCTAAAGAAGAAGATGCCTGCTCGTAACGCTGTGAACAGCTTCCCTGAAAGCAAAGTGAGGTACTCCAGGCTTTCCTCTGATGATGACGGCTACATTGATTTACAGGTAAGAAGTATTGTATTAATGTCATTGCTACCTATATGTACTTGTCTGCACCATCAGTGTTTTTCACCAACAAGTCCATTCATAAAAAGGAATAACTATGAAAACAGAAATCACATGCAAGGAATTTGCTTTGGTGTATGGTGAATTACAATGGAATATAAAGAGCACATATTTAAAAAATGTGTAAACTTTGTAACACTTTTTTTGTTGTCATACATTTATAATACCAAAACCCAAACTGATATAACTCAATCATCAGGGTTATTGTAATGACATTTGTTTGTAATAATAATAATAATAGGTTTACCCTTTAAATTAACAGAAATAACTTTATCAACGGGTTTGTGAATATTTACTACAGATTTAGTCACAAAATACGCAATGCATACCAAAACATTTCCATCATCAAGCACATTATGTTACATGACAGTCAGATAGCTTTATAATATAAAGTGTTTTTCAATTCGTCAAACACTTGAATGGCATTTTCAAAATCTCAAATTACCTTTAAAGCCGCTCATTTTGCCTGTCATTTTCAGTACGTGGGTGAGAAAATGGGAATTGGCACAGAAAGCCCGCTGTGACAGAAAGTGATGTGTGAAAGAAAGTGTTTTTAATCAAATATTTCTCCTCTGCAGTTCAAAAAGAGCCCGCCCAAAGTCCCATACAAAGCCATTGCACTTGCCACAGTCCTCTTCTTAATCGGCTCTCTGTTAATCATCATCGGCTCCCTTCTCCTGGCGGGATATTTTGGAGTCACTGTGAGTATTGTATAAGACACAGAGTTATTTTTACAGTGTGAGGAATAAACTGACCTCTTATTCAAATTATTTGTCTCTCCTTCAGCACTCAGACCGAACTGTGCCTGTCCTTATCATTGGGATACTTGTCTTCCTGCCTGGGATTTATCACCTACGAATAGCTTACTATGCATCAAGAGGCTACCGGGGCTACTCCTATGATGATATCCCAGACTTTGATGACTGATAGACCCCACAGCTTCATCCAGAGTCTTCCTGTACTCGCATATACTCCTAATATTCTGCTTGTGCTAATTTAAGTGCACTGATTATTGAAAGAAAATATGCTTGATTAGATTCTGTAAATTACTTGCATCTAAATCTGAATGATTTTGATGTTATTGTCATAGCTTTATACTCTGAGGTAGAGGATTCCAGCCTGCTGCTTGAAGTTAAAACAGAATCCGACATTGTTTGTATATTTGTTTTGCTAGCTTGATAAATTAAAAAAACTGTAATTTGACGATTTCGTTTTATTCGTATAATGTATTTTATTTATTTTTAAGAACATCCATCCAAACTAGCACAGTATTAACAGGAATTCAACCAAATTCATGTGATTAATGCCAATCCTTTGATCCACCATATGGTGCACCTGGCCTGTACCTGACACGCAGACATGTTAACCAGACGTAAAAACATTTTCTCTAATCGGCCATCAACTCATCAATTTCAACATAATTGGAAATTGTGCTGATGAAAGGCAAGGCTATCACCTCAATTTCCTTTGCAGGATAAGGTCATCTGTAAAACACATTGCCAGTAAAGGGCGCACTTGTTTACACTAATGTAGGATGCTTGGCCACCAGCTGTTTTACTGCATATTTTCAAGGACAGTTGCTTGTGTTATTTTTGTTTCTTACTAACAAATGGGTCCAATCAATCATCCTCAAACAATTAAATATTTGGCAATAAATTCAGAAGAATTAAACCTTCAGAAAGGCTGAAAGCTGAATCTTTCCTGGAAGCACTCACACTCAGGCTACATTTAATAAAATCACTTACAGAAGACAGAGATTTAGACAACAACCTACTATTCAATCCAATATCTTCCTGCATGTTGCTATCTTATACTTTTGACTTTATGAGCTTATGCTTTACAGGAAGGCAGATAATGACATGTGTTATAGTGAATGAATATTTTAATAATTTAACAGTATGCTCAGAGAGAAGATCATATTAATTATTCATGTGTTTTCTGTATGACTAACTGCATTATTCCCGACAGTAGTGGGAAGTAACTAAGTACATTCTGGCCTTTGTGCAGAACTAGTACTTTTGCTTCATGTACTTTTACTAAATGTTGTTGGTTATTCCGTTGTTCTTGTAGTAATATTTTAAAATCAGGACTTTTACTTGTAATGGAGTTATTTTAAAACCATAGTATTTGTACTTTTATTTAAGTAAAGGATCTGAGTACTTCTCCAAACACTAATGTCAGAGTGTTTGATAATTTCATAAAAAGAGGTTGTCATTTAGCAGTATTACTGAAGGACAATATCACCCCCTTGTGGCGACACAGACTGACACATGATTGGTTATTTCAATTCAAACTAGGGTAAACAAGATAAAACTGTAATGTGTTTCATATACAGTTCCCTAGTGAGTGTCCCCCATTTAACCAACGACTGCAGTGCAAACCCGTCAGCCGTATGAGATTGAATCAACTATTATTATCAAGTAACAATCCTTTCAATTTGCAGCAAGGTCAAAGACGTGGTTTTGAGGTAAGAAATGTTAAAACTTCTTACTATTTTTTTTTGTAATCCCTAAATGTATCACTCTGTTTAAACAAGGTTGACCGTTTTGGTTAGGGTCTTTCAAATTGAACAAAAGTCTCTGACATGGCAAAGAAGTGAAAAGTAAAGTATTTGACAGAAGTATCCTCCCTCAAGACTTAGCATATATTAGCCTAAATCAATATTAGGTATATAAACACCTCAGTTACCAAATATATCATAGCCAAATTACAATCTGGGTTGCCTTTTTAGTAATAAATACACAGTGAATGTTGGTTTAATGAATATAAGGTTTATGAACCAAATATTAACCCGCTCTTGCTAGCTTGCGACTTTAACTAACGGTAAGCTAAGTGATGCAAATTAGTTGCTTTTCGGCGCCTCCCGCTTTTTTAACGCTGATTTGGCTGACTTGTGTAATTCGTGGAGAACCGAAGAGTTTTCGTTTTGGGGGGGGCGGGGGGGTCCTTCCGTCCGACTGACGGACAACTTCAAAAAAGAAGAAATCTAGATCGCAAAATAATTAAACAAGCGAGTGCCTGTTTTTCCTGGCCAAGGACAGGTTCCATGAACACAACACGAGCGTAACGTGTCTTCACGTTGTTATGTCTCGTGAAAGGAGTGTAGTGCCGCTCCAGCTCTTCAAATATTGCAGTACCCATAAGGAGCTGTACACATGCCGCAGTGTTTGCGTGGCTGTGCCTTTAGTTGTAAGCAAAGTGGCGATCTGTTGTTTTTAGCATCTGGTTAGCTAGCTATGCTAACGAATTTAAAGAGCTTTTCTACAACCAGGTGGAAGAGAGCTCTCTCCTGAGCGGCTCAAATAACCTCAGCTCAGTCAGGTAAAGGCACACCTTGATATGATCATTATAGTTATTAATGAGATATTAGAGACTAAATTAAAATCAGGTATAAAATACTATATGACAGTAACAAAAATGTTGTTAAAAATAACAAGAATACAGTTTAAAAGGGGAGTGATTTGTAAAATATCTAAAAAGAAAAATCTGCTTCCAGTTCTGTTTCAAATGGGTGTTGAAAGATGTATCCATAGATCTCCTCATGTTGCTCTCAAAGTGAAAAAATCTTCCCGGGGGAGCATGCCCCCGGACCCCCGTAGGAGGTTAGGTCCCCCCACACACTTAAATCATGTTCACATGGATAGGATACTAAATACATTTGCACACATCTTGTGTCCATATCTTTCTGTTTTGGTGGTCATGCCACAACCGTTCACATGCATGGATGCACGAGTCTGTAAGATATCTGGATTAAGAGGTTGCTTTTTCTTTGCACAGCATGAAAGAAAGGCCAAATGAATGGGCTGTGATTTTAGTTTTTTCAAGCAGAGGTTGAGTTCAATAATTTGTACGGCCCTCGGAGGATGTTGTAAGAATTGAAAGGAAAAAGGTTCCCCACCCCTGCTGTAAATAATAATAAAAACCCTTGATTTATAACTTAACATCTCTGTCTCCTATTGATCTGAGTATATTATAAAGAATAGCCAGTTAATTTAAGCATTATAGCACAGGCCTTTGTCAGATGGTTACGCTGTTTTTTTTCTGCTTCGAATAGTTCTCTCTTTTTTCACCATACCTGTGTTTGCATCATCACTGTAACTAGCTATAGCTGAGCTAACATTTTGTATGTCAGCCGTTTGTAAGCGCTGGTTAGGTAACGTTAAAGCTATGCTAAATTAGCTTTTGGCCTAATATATTGAATTGCCATTCGGGTTTTTAGCAAAGGTGGAATAAGTACTCAGATCTTGTACTTAAGTATTCTAGGCATTCAGGTGTTTAGAATAACAATAATCAAATATTTTAGGGGACATAGATTGTATTCTTAAGAAGGGTTCATATTTCTCCACTTGACTTTCCATTAACTTACGATGTGAACTTACTTAGTTAATATAGTTTAAACTGATAACCATAGTGGTAGACCAATTTGGTACTGTAAGTACAATTTTAACTTTGGACTTTCCCAGTTCTCCACTACAACTCAGAGGCAGAGTACTTTTACTATCAATTTGATTCAGAGCTTACCAAGTAATCATCAAATGATGTATCATGCATTATAACATAAGTCAATATAAACTTAATTGAGCCCTTGATGAGAAAAAAAAAAGCCTTGTTGAATAAAATGTGCTTTTTCTTTACCAGCTGCACCATTAAAGTGATAAACAATACATCAATAATTAAAATCCAATAATATAACATATTATATTCAGAAGTGGGCCTATATTTGGATGCTAATAATGTTATACTTACTAAAAATATGTTTTAATGTATGACTCTTATTTGGAACAGAGTATTTCTAAATGTTTTCTACTTTTACTTAGGTTAACAATCCGAGCACTTTGTACAGTGAAAACTGTGAATATCGAAGAAAAAAAATATATATATACAGTGAACTAATCATTATATTGAAACTTTAGAGTATTGTGAACATTTTAAGGATTTGGTACCTGTATGCAATTAAAAAAAACAAAATGTCATACATTCTGGATTCATTAC